GCCAAACAATTACTTCTTATAAAAGTACAAAAATGTACATATTAAAAAAATCGTTGTATGATATAAGTATTGAGAATATACACATCCTACTCTATCAAAAATCAATTTCGAATGAACATTAACATAACGTAAGAATCTTTTATTTTAAAATACCTACGTTGTATAAAAAATTATTTGTTGCCCTATTAGTAAGATTTAAAAACATGTTTATTGGAAAGTGGCTGTTTAATGGTTAAAGCGATTTCATGCCCACAGATGCCGTGGTGCGGCCAAGAGCGAGGAAGTTGGAGAACTTTTATCCCCAACCAATAGTGCATATGGGATCCAGGATGTTGAGGCAACAAATAACGTATGGACCTAATTCTGGTAACCGGCTACCATGGAATTGTATCTCCGAACGTTGCTCAACTGCCTTGTGGATTAGACCTCATGGTCAAAGGCTCAGCGGGTGACCTCCCTAAAAAAATCACCTGCTTCGGTTTGGGCACTTGGGTAGTATCCCAGACTATAGACAAATTAAATGAATTGTGGCGCATAAACACTTAAGTCCCACTATGTACTAGCTTATGTGTTTAAATAAAAATAAATAAAAGAAAGTAAAGAAGCTGACATTTTTTGTACTGAGTTATAATACTTAGTCCTATTTTACACATCAGTGTTAGAATAGTCAGAAAGCACCAAAAATCTGGCAAAGTTAAAAAAACACGATAAATGGATAAACAGTCAATAAAATAGGTAAGAGCAAAAGACAATCAAAATAAATGTTCACGAATTAAATCCAACGTTGAAAGGACAAATTTTAATAGTTCACTTTAATCTGAAGTTTGTGCTGAGAATGTCGCTTAAAAAGGTAATGGAAGCTTTTGATTAAAACGCAACTTAGAGAGCATGGCTTCACAAATATCAGCTTTCTGACCTAAAATTTTTCTATTACATTTCTTTTTACAAAACTACATTGAATTGTAACTTAAACTATTCACAACTTGTGAATTTATTGATGAAAAGGTTAATTAAGAATGGACAATGAAACACGTTAAATTTCATTCAATAAAATTTGTTAATCTTGAGTAAAAAAAAGATTATCAAAGATTTATATATATATATATATATATACCTAATAATAAGTATACAATTAATCATTTACCTTCATCATTTAAATCAATTGCATTATTGAGATCAGTTTCAATTTCATAAACTTTATTCAATAATTCTTTCTGTGTTTCATCTACTTGTTGAAGATAAAAATTTCCATCGATTTTAATTTCTGATTGATTGGATAATATGTTATGATTAGTAGTGATTTGTTGTTTCTCTTCTATGATTGATGAATCTTTTTCTGTAAATGATAGTTTATTGTTGTCAAGTATATCAACTTGTAAAGAAGGTAAAATTAAAAAATTACAATGTTAATTAATTATTAAGCAAGTGAAAAAAAAAACAATATTTCAAATTGATAATACTTTTTTTAAAAAAAAATAAAATATTTGACTGTCAAATCAAAAAAAAAAAAAGAACGAACAATGTTAAACATTACAATTTAAAATATATAGTGAGTGTAACAATGTACTCGCCAATATTAGTGAGCGATTACATATTTGAATGCAAGGAGTAAAATTCAATAGATACTGTGAATGAGCCAGTATAGCATTATGGGTCAAGTCTGCATAATACAAATTAATATGAATTATCTAGTTGCATATTATTCCGAATGAAAACAATGAGATACTAATATTAATTTTTACCAGCTTAACACACTCCATATACAGAATTGAATCGGGAATATCATTAGTGCTCAAGGAATTTAGTTAGTCAAGTCGTTGGGTCATAGACCTAATACTGATATGATCATCGAAATCACTAGAATTAGAATGTATTACATACAAACAACGTATTTTTACACACATTTTCTCCAGTGTTCTTTCTCTCGAAATTTATATTCCCTTTTTGCTGCTGCATAGAGCTGGAACATTCTCTTTATGGTTACATCATTGTAAATAATATTCAACTTCTGATACAAAATTTTGACAATTCACTGATATTATACAATGCAAACTATCAGTTGTATGACATCTTCCATTTCATTCATGTATTAATACATTTGACTACTAGTTACTTTGTGCTTCCTATCTTTCAATTACTTTATAAATCATTAGTAACGGTGTACGGAGATGTCCGAGATCTAAATGTGATTGATACACGCTAACCATCTAAACTGGCTACGTGAGCGAGAAAACAAGAGTGGAAGAGAGTTTATTTGGCTGCTGAATAATACATACTCATATATATATTCTCCCTGGCCAATGATATGCATTCGCCCTTTAGGACATTTATGATGGTCATCAAATGACCTTCCTGCTCGGTCACCTTTGATTGGCTCTCCATACTAACTTTCCTTCCCGAAAAATAAAGCGGCTTCTTCGGTTTGTGATCTTTTTTCTTCTGTGAATACAGAGCTCTAAATAAAACCTGATCCTTGGTTCTAAACGACTCTATAACATAGGAGACACCCTTTGGTGAGACTATGTTCGAAACTATTCTGAGAGGTTTTCTTCATCGTGCCACCCCCTTGTGATCACTTTTAACGTGGCTGTGAAACTTCCGTTTCCATTTGGTCATCATAAGAAAAATTGGGAGACTATTGGAAGGTTAAAGGGTTACAATAAAGATTAGGTTACACTGATCGAACGTTTTTAGATATGTGATCCAGTCCGGGTCCAATAAACTGAAAGGTGTAACATAAGATTTGGTTTTGATTGTTAGATTTTTGAGTTTGACAATACTTTTGATAAGTCCCGAAATCTAAAACTTGGTTGTTATTGATTTTGTGACCGTCGTTAAATATATATATATATATATATATATATATATATATAACTGTAAAATAGTGAAAGGTATATTATCTGCTCCAATCAAACGACTAGAGTAGACAAAGAAACTAAAGTTAGTACTTTAAACGGGCAACGAAACTTAGGGATTAGTCGGATGTAAGGTTATGTGTTATTTTTCACGAAACCTAGAGTTTATGAGTTTAAACTAGTAGGATATAGACAACGTTTACAAAAAGGATGAAACTGCTGTCTACTGTCTTTCAGAGTTGAATAATGTCTCAAGTAAATAACTGTATTATTTAAGTTTCATGAAAAAAATCAAAAAAAAACAATTACCAATTTCCGTCTTAAATTGTGTTGAGGTGTTAAGTTCTCCACTTATTTCATCTACTTCACCATAAGCAGTAACAGCATCCGAGCGATTTGGAGAGAAAGGTTTGCTGAGTACTTTTGTTGGAGTTGCAGCACGACAACGAGGACTAGCATGAGCTACTGCCAACATAATGAGTGAAGATCGATTCCAGTGTTCTTGATCATCAGTGTTATTACTGTTACTGGTGGTCTAAAATTGTGCGAAAAATTTAAATACTGAATGAAAAATGTCATTTAAGGAATTAATATACCAACTGAAAAGCAAGAAGAGTTAACCATTGTCACAGTTTAAAGATGCAAGAACTAAAAGTTTGATGACGAAAAATCTTAATGTGTTCGAATCAACTAACACAAGGTCAAGCATAGAATCAAGGTGATGATATTAAGTATATTTGCCAAATACATTCCAAAGAAAAAGTATTGTTGATTATTGTTTACCGATAAAAGGAAATAAGCCTCATTTTATGTCTCTCATTTCATTGAAGCTATATCATATAAAACTGCTAATCATTAAAAATTATACCAACACTGCAACTAGCTATTGATATTGTATTAATTCATAGTGCAACAAATGCTTTTAGAACACAAACACGTGAAGTTTCGCGATTTCGAACAATATTAACACATACACATAGGGACGCCTAAATGTGTGTCTGTGTTCCAGGAACTGACGGAGGGTGAAAATGTGGTCGATACATCCACGTCCAGCCTGGTTTTCTCTAGTCTGCTCTTCACAAGCTCTAGTCAGTTAAACTATTACTGAGGCTAATATTTTAGATAATATATTAGTTAAACTGATTCCTCTGTGATTGTCACATGAGGACTTTTGTCCATTGTTGTAGACAGGGACAATCAATGATTGAGACCAGTTCGATAGGATTACGCCTAGTTCTCAAATTCTACCTAAGATCCCAGTCAACCAAACTGCCAAAACTGGACCACCATCCAAAAGCCTCAGAAGTTAACCTATCAGGACCCACCCCATACTTCCTTTCATTTAAATTTTCTATAGCTTTCTCAACTTCATAAAGAGTCGGAGGTCTTACACCGATTTTACATTCAGGTTGACTGGAGATCATGGGCAAGCGAAGTGTGGTTGAAGGCCAGTTGAAGTGATCCCTAATATGTTTTGCCCATTGATCCAATCTTCTGGATTTAGAATTAATATTAGTCCCTTTCTTTTCCGAAATAGTCTAACTTGCAGTCGGATTCCTAATACCTGTTTCCTTGATAAAGCGGAAAATCTGTCTACTGTTGCCTATCGCCGCTGCCTTTTCCATTTCACTCGCTTTCTCCACCCACCACTGTTCGCGATCATTACGTAGGCTTTTTATCAGCCTGCGCTTAAGCTGACTCCGCTCTTCATAGTACTCAGAGCTAGACGGGATGAGTTTCCGAGCATCCATCATTTCGGTAGATGCTAACCTTTTACTATACCTTACTAGCAGATATTACTGCTGTTTGCACAGCTTTTTGGATATCATACCAAGCTGCCTCAGGGTGGGCATCGCTTACTGTTTTTCTAGCTGTTCCTGAAATATATTCTTAGCTATGCTGTCAATAAGTAGAACCCTAAGGAGTTTCCTTGCTGTGTCTTTCCTACGTTCAGTAAGCTGTAGACAAATACGCGCTTGCACTAGAGCATGGTCTGAATCTAAACAAGTGCTCCAGAATGAGCGGCAGTCTTCAATAGAGCCTCTCCATTGATGGCTGATAGCAATGTTTGACCAATGTTTATTCCTTCCAAAATAAACCTGAAAAAAATATAACTAAATGTCATAATATGAAAAGTCCGTTATGTTACATAATAATTACACAAAATGCATTGACCCGAAATACTTACCCTTTTTCTTCGCAAAGTGACATTTTCTGTGCTACTTTTCGAAACGCCATCACGACCAGACTATACAAATAAGAATTAAACACAAAAGTGGAAAGTATTATCTTCATAAAATGCTGGTGTTCCACACAAAGATACTATAATAGAAAATGCATAAACTGTTGAAAATGCTATTACAGTTAAAAAACCGTCGAACCTTTGAACCTAAGGAGTACTATGTAGTTGTACAGTCCCAGTATAAAACTCGCCAAAAGTGCCAGTCTTCGATCGCTCACGAAAAACCTGAAATCTCGAGGTTTAGTTTGTGCTTTCATGGTTTAGGTTGACCGTTTTCACCATTTTTCCTGAAGCTACATTGAAAAATACAGTTTAATCAATAGTGTCATCTTTAAATACCAACTTCAAAGGCTAGGGTACAATTTACAGATGACGCTCCAGCAACTGTTCTACTATGAAGCTTTATTTACCGCTACTGCGTGCGAGTACTCAAAACGAGGTATACAGTATCATATTTTTCTCTTCGAATGAATCACAGATATGTTGATTGATCATTTGTTGGTCTAAAACTCTATGAATGAGATTTTAGAAATCAGAAAACACAAAAACGTGAAGTGCTATCAAACATAGTTCAAGACCGAATTCAGTTGTGGTACCTTTGAAACTCACTTATATGTTCAACATAAAATACACAGTGTACTTTTGAGAAGCATAAAGTTTACATTAGTTATATTCTCATTTAAACTATAAGACCTAATACGTTTAATTCCTATCATGATTGACCACTCTTTCACTTCCTGTATTTTGTTTTGAGTGAGACATTTTTTATGAGTCTATCTGTAGTCCATATTGTGGACTGATTTATTTAAACCACCAATGAAAACTAGGAAGCCCAAAACAAGTGTTCCATCCTAGTACAGTACTCAGTAGTATGCATTCATGACTCTACCAAGGATCGAACCCAAGTGCATCGGTCTAGGGTGCAAACCTCTAGACCACTACGATGTAGTTTAATGGTGTATATGTTTAACATTAATCACAATTTACGATATTGCACGACCTTTTTCCATTGTTTACGGTGGACAATTGTCTCACAACCGCACTAGTCACGGTTTGTCACTAGAGTTTAAAGTGCGTTTATACGTTATGTTATGATAAACACAATAATCAATTTTAGACCATGTATGGCGACACCCAAAGTTCGTGAAGGTACCTAGATCTTAATCCAGCACAATCGTATTTCATTACATAATACCAAATCATAAACTCACTAAAGCAACTGCGTGTTACATTGAGTAACAATGAAGAAACATTTGTTAGCAAATTGTCTATTAAAAGTGTTATTTGAGTTCAGATCACTTCAGTTACAAAAGGAAATTATGTTACAAAGCAGATTTTTTACACTTAATATAAAAATAATGAAAGTACCTCGGTTCGACGACAAGCCGACTGGGAACCCTTCAAAATAGATCCAGGACTTCCAGACTTTTCCACGACTTGTAACTTCTGCTTATCGAAAGCATTAGTCATAGTATCTGAAGTTACAGAAGTAGCTGATTCACGTGCAATATTTGATGTTCTACTATGAGGAGGAGTAGACAGCTTGTGTTCAACAGCGTGCTGGACTATTAAAGGAGAGGTATCCGTATGGACTAGATTATGAATTGATTTGGATGCTGAATAATAGTTGCTGTAACCAAATGCTGCTACTGATGCATTTAAATAACTGGGTGTATCTGAAATTTTTTAAAAACGATTTTGAAAATTATGCAGAAGAAAAGAACATTTATCATAGCATTAACTGCATTTTACACAGAAAATGTATCGGTTGTCTTAACTAGTGTATAACAATATGGAAAGCATTCATGGGACTTACAGGTACATACTGCCAACGGAGATGTGGGATATTGGGACGCTAATGATTGTGAGAGTTTTTCACAGGATTGTGGGATTAAAGTTTCTGATCGATGGACATTATTTGTTTTATTGTTATTTATGTTATGACGACGTGGTACCCCAAAACGGTGAATTTCATTACCAACAGAACGAATACTATTGCCGCGCGTTACAACAAACGGTAGTGGGGAACTGGCCACTGGAGAATGGAGGTCAACATATTCATTTTTCGAAATGTCAGTGTGACAAAATAAGGAAGATGGTGAACAGTTTGGCGAGTTTTTGACTTCAGTGTGCGTTTTGATATCATTAACTAATGAATACAACAACAGTAAAAACATTTAATTGTATAAATGCATGTCAAAAGAAATACTAAATAAACAGTATAAAAACCAATATCAAAAACTAAATTAAGTAATAAGATAAATGTCTGGTAAGAAATGAGAACCGGTCCTAGTATTTATTAACTTTTATCATTATCGCTTACGACTCTAAAAACCTTAGGAATAGTAAAGATTCACAAGTGTTTAAGGTAAATTAATGAATTCGAGCTTTTCAAATTGTAACTGCACACTACATACGTTGACTGTCATACAAATATCTTCCCCGTAATATGATAGACATTTGGAAATATCATGTTACCAAGATACTCCATGAGAATACATTTTTCAAATTATTTCTAGTATTACACATATTGTTTTTACGTAGTGGTAATACAAGTAGTAGTAGTATATAATCTTTTTGATACAACAATGCCGAGTGAAACTGATAGTAAGGCTTTCCATTGCAGGTACTGTTGTCAAATGTCGACTGGAGAATGATGCGACAATACGCCTTAAATGACGAAATAGAAATGTAAACTCTAATTTAGGAAAGTCGCATATTTTTAAAAACCCATATCTTAAGCACTTTCGTTGTGGCCAAGTGAAAAGACATCAATAACGATAATAAATTAATACAGACGATATTTCACAAATTTTTTCTTTTAATCGACACTAGATTCAGGTAGTCTGACTAGTCATTCAAACAAATACAATTTATCTAATAAATTCACCGTTAGGCTAGTTAAAGAACTATACATACGAAATAATATACGGAAATCACTAACTAATCTAATAAATTTACACTTTTATTTTAGTTAGCATAAAAAATTATGTGTGAAAATGATCATACTTTAGTTAATAAAAAAAAAATTACATGAAATTTTCAACTTACGTTCAGATTGCACGGAAACACGAATGTTGTAGTCAATGCTAGCGTCTTGAGCCTAAAAAACATATATAATAGGTACTAAACATCTTTTATAATCAAGGTGTAATGCATTTACATGGATAACTATTTCGATTATTGTAGAAGATAAATGCTTTTATCATTATTTGTTTATATATGTGCTAGATTCATATGATTTGCAATTCTGACGACTTTGAATTTTTTGACTTCTGTTATTGCCTTGTTTGAGTTTAATACCACTATTAAGAATTTATATACGACTTAAGTATCATATTTAACGTCATTAGAGTTATATGCTTGAGTAATTTTAGAAAACGACTTATCAGCAAATCTCGGGAAGTTAAAAAACCATTTAAAATAGTTTGATATATGATGATTATCCAAGAATGTAAAAGATAGTGAAATTTCTGCCCACTTAATGCATTGCAATCGGATCCGAGACAAGTAGCACGTTAAAAAAATCTTGCTTTTCATAAGGAACATTTTTCGCTTGAAAGATTGAACCTTTTATCGATGGATGATGAGCTATATTAGTCTTTTTAGTAAATCATGAGTTCACTCTACTAAATTAGTTCAAATCAGAATATATTCCCAAAATAAAAACTCAAGCTGATGTTTGCGCTTTCAGCGGTTAGTTGCTCATACAAAAAACTAGGGGGGATGTATCGACTTGCTAAAATTTTATAGTCTATCCACGGGTTTACTATGTCAAATATTTAATCAAAATTCTTATCTCTGTATGTACTAAACATACTTTCAAATAAACTTCGCTGTTTTACCTGGATATGTACAGAATCTAAGTGTAGCTAAAGCTTTGGATGAGTGATAATAACACATAGAAAAAGATAAATATGTCAACGTATTTCCAAAAAAGTTACATCAGTTCAGTTTGTGACACATTCTAAAAGTACAGGAGAAAATAAGGATTAAAGAGTATGACAGAATGCAGCTTGAAGGTATATGGTATTTAAAAGAGAACAGATGACTACATCATGTCATCTATAGTTTACATTTACTGTTTCATTACTTCGATAACCTTGTCCAAACAATCAATCAATCAATAGCAACGTAGAACTTTGTACGTACGTACATCAGTTCATGTTGCCATACCACATTAGCACAGAGATGTAATTGTCAATTCAAATACAACAGTAGTAGAGGTGGTAAAGGTATTAGAAGTAATTGGAGAGGTTAGAATTAGAAGATATTATTCAAGAAGTAGAATCTAGTGAAATAGACTTAAAAAGATTAAGATAAAGTGATGAAGAATTAAACAGTTTAGGATTTGAGAGAATACGAAGAATAAATGCACCGGCGCAACTGCAAACGGTTTTGAGCCACATCATTCAGGGTCTCTAAACATCGATTACTAACATCTCGCGAACCCCAACCAGGTAATCGACACCTACCGACATGACTCAGTCCACTTGTCAGTGACTTCATGGATTTCTGCCATGTTTTTCTTCATTTGGCCGCCCCTAGCTTTCTTCCAACCTACTCCCACGCCACAAAACATAGCTCGTCGACGCATTCGGTGGTTAGCCATACTTAACATATGTCCCAACCACCTCAACTGATGAAGTTTCATTACTTCATTAATTGGTCTGCTTTGCTTACATAGCACCCGTTTCCTAATGACCGCACTGTTTACTCGGTTGTCCCACGATACGCGAGCAATGCTACGAAGACACCTATGATCAAAAACCAGTAACCTACGAATATCTCCTACTGTGACTGGCCATGTTTCACAGCCATAAAGTAGGACGGAGTGAACTACTGCACAGTACACTCATCCTATAGTCAGGAAACGGATGTCCCGCCTGTGCCACAAGTGACGCAGGTTGGCAAAAGCCAATCGAGCCTCCTGTATCCGTGCTGAGATTTCAACAATCACCATACCATCAGCACTGATAAGACTTCCCAGATATGTGAAGCGGTCTACACGTTCGACCACTTCACCCCCTATCACTAGTTCAGATGCCGATGCAACCCAATCTTGAAGCTACATTTTGCATTTCGAGGGGGAAAACCACATCCTGAACATGCATGCATTGTTGCTTAGGGTGGTCAGAAGACCGCATTTTGTCAGTATTTTCACCGAATAGAACTATGTCATCGGCACATTCTAAGTCAGCAAGAGATTTTCCTGGTAGGTCTACTCCTGAAAATTCAGACGATGATAATGTTATATCTGGCAGGCATGTCTATGACAAAATTGAACAAGAATGGAGAGAGTGGAAATCCCTGACGGACACCACTTGAAGTGAAGAATTCCGATGTCAGTTCGCCAAAAGCTCTCACTCGACCAGTGGTGTTCGAGTGCAGAGCTTGTATAAGGTTAATGTACTTCTGTGGTACACCTTTCAATGACAGACACTGCCACAGAACCTCACGATCCACTTGAGTCGAATGCCGCTTTTAGGTCCAGGAAGATAACTATTGTAGGACGACTAAATGTGTGTTTGTGTTCCAGGACCTGTCGCGGTGTGAAGATGTGGTCTATGCAACCACGTCCAGGTCGAAAACCAGACTGGTTCTCTCGAGTCTGCTCTTCACGAGCTCTAGTTAGACGTCTAAGTATAATCGAGGCTAACAATCTAGGAAATATATTAGTTAGACTGATTCCCCTGTGATTGTCACAAGAACACTTTTGTCCTTTCTTATAAATTGGGACAATCAGTGATTAAGACCAGTCGGATCGAATTTTACCCAGTTCCCAGATTCTACCTAAGATCTCGCTCAATCTAGCTGCTAGAACTGGACCACCATCCGCAAAAATCTCAGGAGTCAACCTATCGGGTCCTGCTGGTCTATCTCGCTTCAGACTTCCTATAGCCTTTTCAACTTCATAAAGGTTCGGAGGGCTTACGTCGATTTGCCATTCAGGATGACCGGAGATCATGGACAACCGAAGTGTGGCTGACGGCCAATTGAACTGATCCCTGAAGTGTTCTGCCCATCGGTCCAGTCTCCTGGATTGAGAATGGATAATAAGACCATCCTTTTCTGAAATAGTCTCACTCACATTCGAGTTCCTAATACCAGTTTCCTTGATAAGTCTAAATATTTGCCTATTGTTGCCTATCGCCGCTGCCTTTTTCATTGCTTTTGCTTTCTCCACCCACCACTGTTCAAGGTCGTTTCGTAGGCTTTTTATCAGCCCGCGCCTAAGCTGACTTCGTTCTTCATCATGTTCAGAGCCAAGTGGGATGAGTTTTCGAGCATCCATCAGTTCGGTGGATGCTACTGAGATCCACGACTTCATTCTAGCCTTATGGTTTACCTTACTAGCAGATATCACTGCTGTTTACACTGCCTTTTTGATATCATTTCAACCTGCTTCCGGATGGGAATCGCTTACATGGTTTCTAACTTTCTTTCTAGTTGCTCCTGAAATATGTTCTTAGATAAGCTAACATTAAGTAAAAATCGGTGGCTGATAGCGATTTGATCTAGTTGTGTGCAGTGTTGTGACGACTCAGGGGGTCACCATATCAAAAGATGTTTGTCTTTATGCTTAAAGCTAGTGTTTGTTAGAAATAGGCGGTTATCTGAGCATAGCTGTAGCAGACAGTCGCCATTATCTGATCTTTGAGCCGCGACACCACAAGATCCACCCAGGTGTCTTTCTTTTTCACCTAGGCTACCTCCTACTTGAGCGTTAAAGTCAGCAGCCATTATTACTACATCAGAGCGCCTAGCTTTTTGGAGGAGGTCCGAAAGCTTTTTGCAGAACTGAAATGTAGTGAAGAACACCGGTAAGGGCAACCGAATTGTATTTAACGAAAATTACTGAGTTACTCAGTAAAATCGGAAATCGTTAACTTGCAGAATATCAGTTCATCATATCGAACTGGACTGTTCCTGTTGCAAAACACCAATCCATTGTCACTGTTCATGCGTTTCATACAAATTCCATTGTTTTCGAACTCTTCCTTTCTTGATCTTCCCCCATCTTCTGCTGCCAGACATTACGTTGACACTCACGTCATACACTACTTACAAGTAGCTCGCACCACACTCGTCCCACCTTTTAATAAGCTGTCGTCGTAGTCTTTCTGATTGCCGTATCGCTGTCTTCGTTGGTGCTTTCCGTGACTCACGCGCTTGATAATCTTGAAACCACCTCTGCAGTTGACTGGTATTCACGCGTTTTTGGTTGTCTCCTTTCCGTATCGTGCAAACAGAGCCACGTCTCTCAATAACAATGTACAGTCCTTCCGATTTCGGAAGCAGCTTCCCTGATCCTTGTCCCCATGCTACGGTGCCTTTCCGTTCTCTACATTTTACCAGGTCCCCGACTTTAAACGTCTTCCACTGCCTATTCTGCTGTTCTGTCGTTGTGTGCGACATCTGTTTCTTCTTTATATTGCTGACTGCCTCCCTCCTCTCCTTCTTTAACCTTGTTGCCGTCCACTTCTGTTGTTGCGGCCATGTCTTATTGTGCATTGGAAGTCGCGGATGTCTCCCGTACATAAGCAGGAAAGGTGATTTCTTGGTTGTTCCTTGTATTGAGGCACGATGCGCCAGCAAGATTAGTGGTAATTCCTTCTCCCAATTCCCTCCTTTAGAGGCTAACCATTCCTTTAACGTCCGGTTGTTCCTTTCTGTAAGCCCGTTAGTCTGTGGATGATATGGTGTAGTTCGTATTCTCTTGATACCGAACTGTTCCAGACGGGACTTAAACTCGTCACTTTCAAAACAGGGACCCTGATCAGTTAATATTGTTTTCGGTATTCCGTGACATCAACATTTGAATTGTATATGTTTGTACTAACATAACTTAACATCATACGTCCAGATAAGTACGAATTCACTATTCATAACATGTAACATTACTTTAGTGGATGTAAATTTAAACGGTATTTAGTGGTTTGCTGTTCTTCGTCACAACTTAAAATCTAACCAAGTGATGCCTGCAAGGTGGTTCTATTATTCAAGTATGACTGAATTTGAAATGCAGGTAGCAAACATGAAACAGTGGAACAAGATTCAACTGTTAATGCACTACTGTAGCATGCGTTTTGTTGTGAAATAGAGTCAAAAAATAATACGAACAAAAACAAAAAGTTTCAGATAAAATGATGTACCGGAAATGGACACAAGTGGTATTTCCTACACATAACTACTGCATCTACTGGTGCTGCCTTTTCGGAGAAAGGGCTTAAAATATCAGCCCTACCAAATCTTTGATGTCGATACTAAAGTGTAAAAATTGGGAAACGAGTACGAAAAAACTACTTACTAGAAGTGTATCATTAGACTTTGGTCGTTCTTAGGGCTAAGGAATAAATTTACAAAAAGCTAACGGGAGCCAAATCGCAACTTTTCGTTAGACGATAAAGGTATAAACTCTTGGTTGAAGCTATAATAACGAAAAGCACACTATCTGGTCCGGATTCACATGATAATTGCTACCAGTGTCTGGAAAAGGGTGACATGATTTGGAATGTTACAATGGTGTAAATATGCTCACTTTAGAACTTAATTCCTAGTATCTCTTTATGTGCTGATGCCACTTCATTCTGTATTTTCTAACTATATATTCTTAGTGTTTAGTCTTTGCCAGTTTCCCTGTTATTACGCTGTTTTGACTTTCATGTTATTCATCCCATTGTCCTAATGTGATATGGCAACTTATGCTACCGCATACCTATGCTAGGCTCTAAGTTGTATATGATTAAATGAATGCCTTTGGATTCCTCCAAACTCAATTTTCTCACCACTAAATCTATTTGTTTCTTAATCATCATACCTTTATTCGTATAATTAACTTCTTTTTTTACCAATCTCTTTCGGTACATATAGGCAGTTCTAGCGTTTCCCATAAGTTTATCATGAAGTTCAAAAACAGAACGAACTATTTATTTAGACCACATTTGATATATTACTTGATTTGGTGAAATGAAACCACATAAAATCACGAAAAATTTTATTCTTCCTATTTGAAATACATATTTATACTGTTTTTAATGGTCACTATTATTGCTTTAACTTATTTGATTTACATTTTATTAAGTTTCCTATAAGATGCTAATGTAAAGTTTAATGCATACTTATGCCTCGTACATTATTTATGAGTGACTAAATAATTTGCTCAGGGAATTGAATAACACATTATAAAGTCAATATTGAATAGTCTGCCATCATGAAAATACTTTAAATTTGATTACATACATTTAAATGCAGTTAACAAAACACTTACCATGACTGTATGACTAGGATTCTGAGTGCAAACATTTTGTGTATGTGGTGAGGCAGACTTCATTTGGTGTGGTACGAGTATGTGCTTACGAGGCACTGGGGCAGATCCAAAGTCTTGAGTGACTAATTCCAATTCCTCTGATAAATCGTCAACTACGGAGTGTGCATACTGAGTTTCTAAAACAGGACCAACACTGGTTACTGAAGGTTTTGAATTTGTGCTAGGCTCTGGGAAAAGGCGAAGTTAGTTAAATCGAAAGACAGAATTAACAAGTGGTATATAAACCAAACGAAGTCAAAAGCCAACGTTCTTAATTAAGGTCACTAACTCATAAAAACTGGATTTGTGGAACCTTCGATACATGATAGCCGATTGACTTTCACAAAAATAGAGCCTATCTTACTTAGCTTTGAGTAATCTGTTAACTCACATAAGTACAAAAATTGAGAGAAAATGTGCACGGAAGTTGAGCTTAAAACAATAACAATACCGAGCAGGTCTATATGATAACAGAAACTGATAACTGGTAAGAAACACAACTCCTACCTATCGAACTTTATATCTAATTTCTCTGTAGGAATATCAGAAAACAACCTTTATTTATATTTATTTCTAATCAAACTAAAATTAGTGGAAAATGATTAAATGGCCTATGATGATTGGTCCAACGCTTGAATAAACTATTTAATATGATTATTTCGGCTACGTAACACCCTAAATCTCAACCCGAAACAGTCCAACACCTAGTGCAAACCACTGCAGGACATGGTGACAAGTAAACTAGCAAAAATAAGCATAGTAAGCACCTAGACGGTAATGGGAATTAGAAAAAACTAGTTATTAGCCGTTAGTAATAATTCTCCAGTCAAACGTCTCCGTTTTCCAGAAAATAATACAAAAGGCTGTGGTAATTGTTGAGAAAATTTCAATATCAGGGGTAAAATTCATCCACTCAGAGTTCTAGATAAGAACTAGGTTGTAACAATGCTAACTCAAAGATTACACTAACGGACACACTATACGCTAGTTGAAGCTATGAAAGGTCTATTTATTAAGCAGAGAATGCTCGAGCATACAAAATGTGCTGCTAGACTGATTAAAATTCTGCAGAACTGGGACTCACTGATTAACCAGTTAGCTTTCAGACACTAATCACGATGGAACCTCACTTATGAAGCTAAGAGCATTCAAGTAGTGTCATTAACTGTCTCGCGTTTGGGAACAGTTCATCACTAAAGGCACGAATCTCAAAGTAATCTACAAGTTACTATATCGTAGCATTTATAATGTATTCTGCTATTGTTATCGTCAGTTGGTTAGTGCGGATAGTTACGGGTCAGATACTTCTTAACTCCCTTAGCTTCATTTCCGTAAACACGAAACATTGTGTAGCCGGGGAACCCATGACTTGTAATTCCTAATTTTAGTGATAGCTGAAAAAAAATGGAGACGTGTATCATTGTAACGACAAACATCGCAACACCAACAAGGTTTCACTACCAAGTAGAAAGAATCAGGTAGTATGAGAACATAGGTCTTGTTGGTGACCGGGATAAAGGTATCTCATATGGAGCCAAAACATGTTAGCACTCCTGTGAGCCACGCTGTTACGAACAATCCATAACTTACCGATGAACATTGTCAATATCTGTAATCCTAACCACTTAAACCTTGAATTAAGGTTGAAAATTAATTATCATTATCATTAGTTACCTAACCTACTATGAAGGTAACTGAAAGATACCATCCGACATTAAAATAGTGACTGGTTTTGTTTCCGTCGGCAACTAGTGTTTAAATGAACAGATAGTCAGTCAGTAAAGTTACAACGTAGAACTTCGTACGTACGCACTTACAGCAGTTCGAGTTGCCATACCACGTTAGCAGAGACGCAATTTTCAATTCAAATACTATAGTAGTAGAGGTAGTGAAGTGTTGGCACTTATCTGGGGAGTCCCATCAGTGCTGATAGCCTGGTGACTGACGAAATCTCAGCGCGGATACAAAAAGCTGGATTGGCTTTTGCCAACCTGCGTCACTTATGGCGCAGGCGAGATATCCGTTTGCTATCCAAAGGACGAGTGTACTGCGCAGTAGTTCGCTCCGTTCTCCTATATGGCTGTGAAACATGGCCGTTAAGAGAAGAAGATATTCGTAGGTTACTAGTCTTCGATCATAGGTGTCTTCGTAGCATTGCTCGCGTATCGTGGGACAACCGAGTAAACAGTTCGGTCATTAGGAAACGGGTGCTATGTAAGCAAAGCAGACCAATTAATGAAATAATGAAACTTCATCAGTTGAGGTGGTTGGGACATGTGTTAAGTATGGCTAACCACCGAATGCGTCGACGAGCTATGTTTTGTGGCGTGGGAGTAGGTTGGAAGAAAGCTAGGGGCGGCCAAATGAAGAAAAACATGGCAGAAATCCATGAAGCCACTGACTAGTGGACTGAGTCATGTCGGTAGGTGTCGATTACCTGGTTGGGGTCCGCGAGACAAAGTCACCAATGGTTAGAGACCTTGAACGACATGGCTCAGAATCGTTTGCAATGGCGCAAGTGCATCCATTCTTTGAGCTCTCTCAAATCCTAATCTTCTGGATTCGTCAGCACCTCTACCTTTGCCTTTCTAACCTTATCTCACTGAATTATACTTCTTGAATAATATCTTCAAACCCTAGTATTCTTCATTACCATTAATACCTCTACTATCTATCTATCTACTATCTATCACTATGGGATTTGATTTGACATTTGCGTCTCTGTGCTAATGTGGTATGGCAACATGAACATATGTACATACGTACGAAGTTCGGCGTTGTATCTGTCTGCAGTAATCGGAGAGACTAGATTTCGAGATATTATTCAAGAACCAATAGTAGACGCGATTTGAAAATTCGTAGGCATGAACATGTTAACTGTATGGTCATTTACTATCAACTATTACACATCCAACGGTACACAGACGAATGATGAAAAGATTAAGTACTTACAACTATAAACTCTAGCCAAGAGGAACCGTAAAAAAGATCGACAGATCAATGCGCTAACAAATGTAATTTACTCTGTTGTGAAAAACAAGTTAAACACAGACAAACAACTGTCCAGACTAATCTTAGCAATGATATTGCAGGCTTTTATGACTGATACATTAAGCACAAAATTTCCTCGGAATAGCGATTTCGTAAGAAGTATATCAGTCTGCAGAAAAATTCGGCGAGACTATAATTTATGGACGAACTAATCACATATGAGACAGCAGGTCTTGGATTTTAGGGCGGAATTTTCCTATCTACTCAGTTAACACCTTGGCATAACAGCCTATATAAGTTCATGAAAAAGCTTTCAACATTAATTTCTAACACAGATTCAACTGTAAATGCTATCTCTAATTCCTTACATTAATATTCCCAAAGTCACTGGCGTCGCTCAAAGGCCGTGCATAAATTAGCATCACCAAAAATTCAAAAGATAAAAACTATACATACGTGTTTCATGAAGTTGATCAGATTGTTTTACCGATTTCCATATACGCTTAGTAAGCCACCTGCGTAATTTTCGTGGACTAGGATTGCTTGATCCAAAGTCACTGTGTGACATAACCGTCTCGCCATTAGTCGACACTACAAAATTATCAGTGCGAGACATTTTATTTCGCGGGGTTGAAAGTCTGCGAATCAAATTGGTGAACAATGATTTTCGATTCGGAGTATTTGATGAAGCACGAGATACTGACGGTACTTTTGTATTTGAGTTCGTTTGCACACACCCGTTTGTCATGACTGAACTACTTATTGGTGATTTGGTTTGAATAGTTTCCATTGGTTGCATTGAATTGTTAGAGTTTACACCAACTTTACAGTCTGCGTGATAGAATTCCAGTTTATGAGAAAAGTTATTCAATCTACCCAATGTTTGTGCGTCTTCAGAAATCCCTGGAGAGCTCAATCTGACAACTACAGTTTTTGTTCGCGGCTTTTCTTCAACAATATCAAGACGCGGTTTTTGAACAAATGGACTTTCCTTTGATCTCAATTTATCTGCTACTGGTGTGAAGAAAGATACGACCTATATCGAGCAATTATAAAGAACTCTACTTTGAAGAATACCTCAGACTGCAATAGGTTGCGTCGAGATGTGGAACAGCGAGCATCTAGTAAGTAAATTGAAATATAACCATTCTTAGCTTACCTTCAGCGACAATTTCAATATCCCCCTGCATTACATGCATACAAATCAAAGGACACACGTTTCCGACAGACTGAAAGCTGCGCTGATAACTCAATGTCCAATATCAGATGATTGAAATGGTTAAAATATTTGTGAACAAAATAAAAGATGCTCTGCCTCAACGTGCTTCCAAATTTAGTAACGATGGATCATCGATGTATCCAGGTGTGAACCTAGGGATATTCTACAACTAAAAAGGATATATCAGTAAATTATGATGAAATGCAGTTCACTTCTTAAGAAAATGTTACGTTTCTGCATGAAGGGCTCCAAGGAATTGGCTTTCCCAAGCTGGATCGACAACTAGTTCTGTGTTGTGACTACTCTTGAAGATGAGGTGTTTCTGTAGTCCGTTTCCCCATGTGGATTCTCTAGTTTTCTGGTATTTCTCTCAAGGTTTGTGTTGAAACTGAGCGTCAGTAAATGGTTTAAGTGATGCTTAAAAGTGTTTAGGACACCATTAGTCAATAAAAGGTCTTATTCGAGACATATACATCCTCCCAAGTAAAAATCCAGCAACTTGATATGCTCTTCATAAAGTTTGAGCTCGAGTCCTCGAACTACCTATTAACGAGTAGATGGAACATTTTACCATCAGAATGATAAAAAATGTGCTTTAACGTTAAAATTGTTAGGTTTTCTGGAGCCGCGCTTTTGTTTCAGTCAGCGTAAGACTTTAAATCACAGGGTATTAAGACTCCTAGATCTTTTAAAAATTGGACTTACGTAGAAAATACATATATGTTGTAAACATAGTCTTCAGCACATCTCAGGTGGAATACTGTGCGCTTTGAAGTGTTGAACGTCAGTCCGTTATCATTAACCCTAATTTGAAGCTCAGTCAGATCCTCCTGCAAATTTCTCTCCGAAATTTAACACTGTTATAGAAAAGTATGTTCCCAGACATCAATTGTTGAGGAAGGTCATTTATATGTGACCATTCCTTAGCTTAGCAGATGTGGAAACATCACACTAAGCGGTGTGGTCAAGATTAAATCCGCTTCTCTTAGTCTAAAAGATTGAACGAAGTTCGGGTTGGAGGTGTTCTTGTTTATCCTGTGCAGTTTTGATAAACCAGGCCATCTTCAATGTCCACTTATGAAATTTCTCTTAAGTAGTCTATGAATCTCTCATTACTGTAATTCGTATTAAATGGCTGAAATGTTCAAAGATACCGTTCCGCTAAAAACTTTTCTGCATTACCATTGTTGTTGGTTGATCCATCAAGACTTACAAGTAGGAAAATCCGGCTTTAGTTTTTCGAAGTGAGGCTTCATAACGGAATATGCTCTTGAGATTGGAGACAAATTTACAGATCTGCTTTATCTGGTATTGAAACTTATGTCTTAGCGCCTTTGTATATTGGTTTCTTGCCAGTTAGAATTGTACATATATGCGGTCAACAGTAGTCCGGTTTTAGACCGCCTAGTATAACCTTTCAAGTTTTGGCAATCTAAGTGTGTGATTGCTTATGGCTGTAGGTGCTTCTTAGAATCAGAGGACCATATATGGGACAGACTGTTTCATGAAACCTAAGATTTTGCTTACAGAGAATTCCCAGTGAGCGTCCACACCAAGTTCATGACGTGCTTCCCAGTTCATATGATTCAGATTGTCCTTTACGGCAGACACTCAGCAGTCTGAGGTTCCGACGCTAGTTATTACAAGGATGCTCAAATCCAGTTATGCCAATAAAAATGAATCCCATGCTAGTGTAAACACATTCTCCTGGGGCTCCAGGATTCAGAGGATGCTAGTCAGGAATTCTTCGTTCGGTAATATTCAGTCCAAGTGTAATGACATCTGACTGTTTTTCCACCGATTTGCTGACTTCACACCTTCACATAATCAAAATTTTTTAATGAGGTTGAAGAAACGAGTTTCAGAAGCGTTACCAGCTCCATTGTATTTACGTTGAGCAACGCTGACTTCAGGAAGATTGAAGTTTCCCAAAGTTAGAAAATCGTCGTTTTTAAGACTAGCAGAGAGGGATAATCATCCCATCATATGGTTGTCATATTTACTATCAGCAGTAGGTTTTCCTCAGATTACTCCAACTAAACATTTTGGTGCTAGATAATCTTACTGAGCATTACATATGCTTCTGATTATTGATAAGCTCTTGAGAGTATATCTTATATGTTGCCTTACAAGATAGTAAGTACAGAACCCATTCGCCACCCACAACCGAACGAAGACATCTCAGGTACTGACAGCTTATGTTCCATTTTCGAAATTTTACCTTGATCATCTGTGTCTTGATATGAATGAAAATCATTCCGTTTCTCCCGTACCTCATAATACGGTTAGTCTCATGGTGTCAGAGATTTTGTACTCACTGAACATCAGTTGAGGGATAGGAATGCCACAAGAAAATGCAAAAGACCTAATGGACACCGAAAGTGTGAAAATTTTTATCATCATCCAGTTTTAAAACCGTGATCGAGGTACGGTGACCAAAAGTCGATGTTAATCTTTTTCTGGCAAGTTATATATGTTCAGTGTTCTTATAAACAGGTCGATTTAAGATGTAAATTTATTAACGCACGTAAGCAAGTTACAGGTGTAATTCGAATCGTCAAAAAACCTGTATGTCATTAACATTTTGATCGCCATTTGAACGACAGAGGTGAGCAAAATATGAATATCAGCTTACATTCTCCTAATGTCTAATTGCTCCATTCTTTTCTAACTTAGCACTGTATGTGCTGTTTACCATGGACACATAAGTGTTTTGCTTATGATTACATACATTATGAGAATCCCACCAGTTAAATCTTACCTAACTATATTTGTTGTAAGTATGGCTATTACGATACATAGCTATCACACATAATAGACATTTTCAAGAGTGTGTCCCTCTATTCCTATTTATCACAAAAACATATGTTTCAGATTTAAAAAATAAAACGAGATAAATATATAAAGGATTTCAAGATAAGAAATCTTTAAACTATTACAAGAATTTTTGAAATCTTCCAAGCTTTTGGCCTTCTGTCTTTTTTTAACTACACTTATGTTTATATAGCTGAAAAATTCCCTATACTTAAGACCGATATCAGTATAAGATCATTATATAGGAAGTAAAACGTTTCAGGGCGAACGAAACCACTGCGATAAACCTTGCCTGTCAAACATCTTAGGTTAGCTACAGCTACCTAATGTAACGCTGAAAAACATGCGAGATAAATATCTAGCAAATGATGTTACTCTATGAACTAAACTAAAAACTTTAATACAGATAATTCTCCGAACTGTCTTATTTAATTAGTGAACGAACAGAAAAATGAACTGTATGACATGTGATTTACTGCTACTCCATTACGACACTATAACGACCTTTAGTGACAGACCACGATCAATAAATCACAAAAAATGTAAACACCAAAATTATTTGAATAAACACTATTAGACGATACAGTTATCAATGAATTATGTCTATCTGTAGTCGATCTGAATAAACATCACATATCAAATTTAATAGGAATCACACACAGCAAGTCTCAATGAAATTAAAATAGCGTCTTTTATTGCTGTTGTGTAAGAGACACCAAATGGACATTTATTCCGATCTCTCAAGGTCGTTGAGGCCGGGAGCGGGCTTTAATTCGGCGTTTGCGTCAATACTGGTGATATTGGTTGTCTTCATTGGCTGATGTATATACTATTTATTTTTTCAATATTGACTTAAACTTATCAACCATCTCTTTTTAATATCTAATCACCGACCATCAAGTACAAAAGGTACTTTAGGATTAATTAAGGATTGATTAAGATACTCCCTGTCTCAGCGCTTTATCAGCTCGCGTTACTCATCTGAGCGTATTAGCAGCTAACAGTTACATGATGCTTTTTGAGTTTCAATGTAATCCTGGTTTTCATATTCATCACATTTTTGTACAAAACCTATGATTTCTTCAAGGGACTAGAGTTTACCGTTACAATCGACAAAAATGTAGGGCAAAATGTGGTATTTTCCCCTGGGCATCCAAGAAGCAGAAGATACTCAGTTTTCATTTTGATTTATCAAAATGTATCTTTTTAACTCGGATATTTTCTCTGGTTATGAATCCAGAGTCGATTATTATGTCATTTTGAAATCCTGTAAACTTTTTATTTTATAAAGATCGTGTACCGTCAGAACCTTGTCTCAAACACTGCACTAAGTGTAGCGATTTATTGTAAAACTTAAAATTAAAGCAAGTACAGAATTGCATAATTCATGGTAAGCTGATCCTATAATTATTTTACCCTCCGCCAATGAGAACTGCTCCTGAATTCATATTTTACGGCGCATTTTGACGCACATTATTTTGTGGCAAACGTATAACCTAAATAATCTAGTACTGCAGATGTAGGAGGAAGATATCGTGTATGACAAATACTACGATGTCAAAGAATATTTTACCTGATCTTTGTACTTTAACACATTTTTCTGTGATTAGCTCATTGTTCGCACCACGCCTACTTCATCTGTATTCTGTTATTGACTCTCATTCGAAGTACTCCGTATTAAGCCTTATTGACGCGTAGCATTTCGCACCTTTATAATAAGCTCATCGTACTCATTAACGAAACCAGTGTCCTGTATTTGTTGGAAGTTCTTGACTAGCCGTCTCGGTAGTTAGTTTGATCACGTCTGGTAGTCTTCATGAACATTTTTTGTATAAAATATATTTTGGAAAAAATCCAGGGCCGGCCAAACCAAAACATGGCGCAAATTCTTGAAGTCACTGTCAACTGGATTAGGTCATGTTGGCAGTTGTCAACTACTTGGTTGGGGCCCGCGAGATGATAGTATTCGACGGTCAGAGACCTTGAATGACATGGCTCAAAACCATTTACTATGGCGAAGGTGCACTCATTCTTTGTGTTCTCTCAAGTCCTAACCTCCGAAGTTCCTCATCACCCTTACATTTTTTCTTTTCAAGTTCCTTTCAATAGATTCTACTTCTTGGATAATATCCTCGAGCCCTAATCTCTCCGATTACTGCTAATATTTTCACTACCCTTACTACTATGAGATTTGAAGTGACAATTGCGTCTCTGTGCTGTGGTATGACAACTTGAAATGATGTACGTACATACGAAGTTCTACGTTACTGTTGTTCGATAGAGTGATTTATATGAATGAAGCGATTAGTTATTTATAATTATGCTCAACTATCATCTAACAGGTCACAGAATGAAGTCAGTCAGTCAGATGCAACGTAAGTACATCAGTTCATGTTGCCAAACCACATTAGCACAGAGATATAATTGTCAATTCAAACCAAGTAGTAGAAGAGGTAGTAACGGTATTAGAAGTAATCGGAGAGGTCAGGATTAGATATTATTCAAGAAGTATAATTCAGTGAGAAAAGTTTAGAAAGTCAAAACTAGAGGGGTTGAAGAATCCAGAAGATTAGGATTTGAGAGAACACAAAGAATGAATGCCCCGGCGCCATTGCAAACGGTTTTGAGCCATGTCATTCAGGGTCTCTAAACATCGATTACTAACATCTCGCGGACCCCAACCAGGTAATCGACAACTACCGACATGACTCAGTCCACTTGCAGTGTTTGGGTCTGACCGGCCCTAGCTTTCGTCCAACCTATTCCTGCATCGCAAACATAGCCCGACGAGGCAGTCGGTGTTTAGGCATACGCAACACATGTCCCAACCATTTCAACTGATGAAGTTTCACTACTTCACCAGTCTGCTCTTCATGAGCTCTAGTTAAGCTTCTGAATATTATCGAGGCTAACAATTTAGACACTGTATTAGCCGATGTTTTCGATACTATATTAGTTAAACTGATTCCTCTGTGATTGTCACAAGGGGACTTTTGGCCATTGTTGTAGACAGGGACAATCAGGGATTGAGACTAGTTGGTTTGGATTACGCCTAGTTCCTAGATTCCACCTAAGATCTCGCTCAATCTAACTGCTGAAACTGGATTACCATCCTCAAAAATCTCAGGAGTTAGCCCATCAGAACCTGCTGCTCTCCCCTTGCTTCAGATTTCCTATGCCTTTTTCAACTTCATAAACTGTCTGAGGACTTACATCGATTCGCCATTCAGGATGACCAGAGATCATAGACAACCGAAGTGTGGTTGACGGCCAGTTGAACTGATCCCTGAAGTGCTCTGCTCATCGTTCCGATCTTCTTGAGTGAGAATGAGTAATAAGCCCATACTTTTCTGAGATAATCTCACTTGAAGTTGTATTCCTAATATCGATTTCCTTGATAAGTCTGGACAGTCTTCTGCTGTTGCCAATCGCCGTGGCCTTTTCCATTCTTCAGACCTAAGTAGTTGCATTTAGTCTCGTCGTTCTCCAATCGGCCTGCCTGGTATGGTAGAACCTATAGGAACATTTGTTCCAGCCAATATAGCTTGTTCGGGTCATCTCGATAGACAAGCCTGACCACCACGTCGAGGTGGCAGTCAGTCCTAAGGCTCTTCAACTTCTAAAGTATGTCAGTCAGTCAGTCAGTCAGATGCAACGTAGAACTTCGTACGTAAGTACATCAGTTCATGTCGCCATACCACATCAACACAGAGATATAATTGTCAATTCAAATCCAATAGTAGAAGAGGTAGTAAAGGTATTAGAAGTAATCGGAGAGGTTAGGATTAGAAGATATTATTCATGAAGTATGATTAAATGAGATAAGTTTAGAAAGTAAAAACTAGAGGTGTTGAAGAATCCAGAAGATTAGGATTTGAGAGAACACAAAGAATAAATGCACTGGCGCCATTGCGAACGATTTTGAGCCATGTCCTTCAAGGTCTCTAGCCATCGATTATTATCATCTCGCGGACCCCAACCAGGTAGTCGACAATTACCGACATGGCTAAGTCCACTAGTCAATGACTTCATGGATTTGTGCCATGTTTTGGTCTGGCCGCCCCTAGCTTTCTTCCAACCTATTCCTACACTACAAAACAAAGCTCGACGAGGGAGTCGCTGGTTAGGCATACGCAACACGTGTCCCAACCACCTCAACTGATGAAGTTTCACCACTTCATCGATTGGTCTGCCATTCTTACCTAGCACCCGATTCCTAATAACAGCGTTGCTCACTCGGTTGTCCCACGATATACGAGCAATGCTTCGAAGACATCTATGATCGAAAACCAATAACCGACGAGTATCTTCTACTCTCATTGGCCATGTTTCACAGCCATAAAGTAAGACGGAGCGGACCACTGCGCAGTACACTCGTCCTTTAGTCAGCAGACGGATATCTCGCCTACGCCATAAGTGACGCAGGTTGGCAAAAGCCAATCGAGCCTTCTGTATCCGTGCTGAGATTTCGTCAGTCACCAGGCCATCGGCACTGATGAAACTCCCGAGATAAGTGAAGCGGTCTACACGATCGACTACTTCACTCCCTATCACTAGTTCAGGTGCCGATGCAACCCAATCTTGAAGCAACATTTTGCATTTCGAGGGGGAAAACCGCATCCCGAACATGCTGGCAATGTTGCTTAGGGTAGTCAGAAGACTCTGCATTCTGTCAGCGTCTTCACCAAGTAGGACTATGTCATCGGCATATTCTAAGTCAATAAGCGAGCCACCTGGTAAAAGGTCTACTCCAGAAAATTCAGACGAGGATAAGGTTATTTCTAGGAGCATGTCTATGACAAAATTAAACAAGAATGGAGAGACTGAAAATTACTGACGGACACCACTTGCATTAACTGATTCCAATGTCAGTTCGCCATAAGCTCTCACTCAACCATTAGTGTTGGAGTAGAGTGTTTGTATAGGGTTAATGTACTTCTCTAGTACATCTTTCAATGACAGACACTGCCATAGAACCTCACGATCCACAGAGTCGAATGCCGCCTTAAGGTCCAGGAACACATCTATTGTAAGACGCCTAAATGTGTGTCTGTGTTCCAAGACCTGTCGTAGTGTGAAAATGTGGTCTATACAGCCACGTCCAGGTCGAAAACCAGCCTGGTTTTCTCGAGTCTGCTCTTCACGAGCTTTCGTTAAGCGTCGAAGTATTATTGAGGCCAATATTTTAGATACTATATTAGTTAGACTTATTCCCCTGTGATTGTCACAAGAAGACTTCTGTCCTTTCTTATAGATTGGGACAATCAGTGATTGAGACCAGTCGGATGGGATTACGTCCAGTTCCCAGATTCTACCTAAGATCTCAGTCAACCTAGCTGCTAAAACTGGACCACCATCCTTAAATATCTCTGGCGTCAGTCTATCAGGACCTGCAGCTCGTCCTCGCTTCAGACTTCCTAAAGCTTTTTCAACTTCATTAAGACTAGGGGGACTTACGTCGATTTGCCATTCAGGATGACTGGAGATCGTGGGTAACCGAAGAGTGGCTCGAGGCCAGTTGAACTGATCCCTATCTAAAGTATGTGGTTTTATTAAATAGCTTTATTGAAATCGACAATTAGTGATCGACGGGTATATCCCACTTCTTAGTTTTAATACAGCCTCTTACTTAAGTTTGTGGAATAAGAAGATCCTATCACATACCTTTGTGTTGGTGTCAGGGAGTTTCTTTGTTTAACATAAAATACGACTTTAAACTATTCCAAAACTTTAGTGGCGACCTAGTCATTAGAGCATACGGCTTTTAACGATTGGGCTGCACATTCCTACATTGTCTCACCTACGTTAGTTCGGGAAGGTGGAAAGGATAATTCAGAATATGTGGTTCTCAAGCAATATGTTTCCGACTCAATAAACCCTTCTTATCAAGGCACATGCAATTGTAAGTTGATTAGTTTCCAGATTGAATTTCACTTACATCAAAAATTGTCGGAAGTTTTATTTACGTCTGCTACATAATCTCCAGTGCAAATATAGACAGTTTTGTCTTAGTTACGCCTTATTTCAATTGATAAAGTCTTTACTTTCCCAATAAACTTCGCTGTCATGCTTTTAGTTATATCAGACTAGTGTAGATGAAAAATAGAGTGCTATTTTCATCCTCTAAATTAGTTCCATCCGCCGCAGTAAAATTCATTTTGGTTTCGATATTAGTGTCTTGTAATTCAAAATAGTTAAAAATCTATGAACATAACTCATAAATCAACTAGCTCCTTGTCTTTTCCATCGCCTTAGATTTGCACTTTCAAGGACTCAAAAGTGCACATGCTTGAATGAATGTTTACTTACACCGAATGCCAATGGTTCGATCTACGTTTTGAAATCAAGTAACTTGAAGCCTAGAAAGTTAACTAAATCATGCTGTGGATAATCTTATGTAAGTTTTTTGAACAGCTTTTATTCAGTTATAAAATTATTGGAACATGTTAAAGCAGTTCATGTTGCCATGCCACATCAGAACAGAGATGTAATTGTCAATACAAATCCCATAGTAGTAGAGGTAGTAAAAGTATTAGAAGTAACCGGAGAGATTAGTATTCGAAGATTTTATTCAAGAAGTATAATTCAGTGCGGTAAATTTAGAAAAAAAAGGTAGAGATGCTGAGGAACTTAGAAGGTCACAGTTTCATAGAACACAGAATAAATGCACCTGCACCATTGCAAACGGTTTTGAGCCGTGTCATTCAGGGTTTGAAGCTTACTGGACGTAGGAAAGACACCGTAAGGAAGCCTCTTGGGGTTTTACCTAATGATAATGGCGACTGTCTGCTACAGCTATGCTCAGATAACCGCCTTTTTCTAACAAACACTAGCTTTAAGCATAAAGACAAACATCTTTTGATATGGTGACCACCTGAGTCGTCACAACACTGCACACAACTAGATCACATTCCCGTTATTTTTGAAAACCCCTTACTTTTCAGTTTACAATACCAAATTTGAGGGTTCATCCCGATTAGACATACGGCCAGCTGCACAGACACTCCCAAAATGTATGTACTATGCACCGTATTGCGCCGAAGTTCTCTATTATTGTTGGCGATTTCGCTATCAGTTGCGTTAGGTTGATGAAATTTGGCTTGGTTCACACTTCAACTACGCAGTCTTAAATCACTTCTGTCCATTGTAGGATGCTTAGTCAATAATTTATTGAGCAACTTTGCTCTCTCTGATCAGTTAATATATATGGGACGGAATCAGGATGCTATTAGTAGTTTTAGTAATTCAAAATTTATTGATTAGCACCAATTTGATGAGTTGTCGTGTCATCTTTTGGTGTTGGAGAGGTATCTATGACGTTTCATTGGTAAAAGGCAAATTCTAGCCCTTAGTAGACAACAAATAGTACCCAAAAGACAAGATGTTTCATACACATAACTCGCCTTAGCTATATGGAGAGAAGAAACACGAGATTTAAGCAGAATAACATAAATTCACTCTACTTCGTTTGGTTCTCGACAGCTGCCTATAACCTGTAATATTTGAAAGCCACAATTCAAGATGGGTTTGAATTACTTGCATGAAATAATTTGGTTGAAAGTTCCGTAGGTCTCAGAGTATATGATGGTAATCTTAATAGACTGAATAAAAAGTGTGGAGTATAATCAATTTTTACGTAATGAATATACGTTGATAATAAGGAAGAATAAAACGAAATTATTGAAAATAAAAAGACGTAATAAGGTTACTAATTGAAAGAAAGTTGGACGAAATCCCATGTGATGAAGGAATGTCTGTCATCAAGGCGAAGAAAGATAAACGATCATCCCTTCTTGAACTTTTGTCATTATTAATTTTTTAGAATGTTATTTAACATAAGGTATATATTTCAGTCAGTCAGCTAGAACGTATAAGTTGTCATACTACATTAACACAGATGCAATTGTCGATCCAAATCCCATAGTGGTGGATGCAATAGAAGTATTGGCTGTAATAGAGAAGATTAGTGTTCGGAGAAATTATTCAAGAAGTATAATCCAGTGAAATAAGTTTAAAAAGAGGAAGATAAAGGTGATAAGGTTTTCAGATTAGAATTTGAGAGAAGACAAGAAATGGAAGTTACATTTTTACTATATTCTACTCAATCAATTAAAACTATGTATACCCTTGCTATATTATACAAATGTGTGATCGTAAGCACTTTCAACCAAACTCTTTCATGTAATTTCCTATCTTGGATTATGGCTTTTAAATATTATAGTTGATGAGAACCAAACAAATTAGGATGAATTTATGTCATTTTGCTTAGAACCTTGTTTATGCTCTCTTTATACAGAACATACTTCTTAAGTACATAAGTATGGATAAATACGACGATCTCTCCGCATTTTTAGCTAGAAAAATAAATCACTTAACTTTTTCGTAACTATTATCTCGTTGGTCTATGATAAAATATTTCTTTTACAGTTATTGGAGGTAACATCACCTCATTCATTTTGTGGCTATGTCTTTTACTTCTTGCACAAAGTAAAAGGAAAAAAGTAAAACAGCCAGTCCTCGTTGTTACTGCACATCCAGATGATGAATCTATGTTCTTCGCTCCGACTATACTCAACCTAGTGAATAGCGGACACGACGTCGATCTACTTTGTTTTACAACTGGAAATTACGATGGGCTTGGTAGTAAAAGGAAACTTGAACTGGAGATCGCTATGAAGAAATTGGGGATCCGGCGTTCAGTCATAATTGATTCAGATAAATTTAAAGATGGTCCTAATTCATGTTGGCCAACAAAAGATTTAGTTGATATCGTTTGTCAAACATGTCAAAAGTTCCGTTCTCGTTCTGTGATAAGTTTCGATGAATTTGGTGTAAGCGGGCATAGAAACCACTGCGTAATTGCTGAAGCCTTGAACAAAGCACATAAGGGCAAGCTCATCCCTCAGCTGTATGGCTTACAAAGCGTTTCTATTTTGCGTAAATATTGTTTCTTAATTGATCTTATCATTTCTGTGTTGTCTAGAGAGGACTTCATTTGTTCACCTTTCCAGTTAATGTACGTTCCTTATCTTAGCATGATAAGTCATAAATCACAGTTAGTGTGGTTCAGATGGCTATATATGTACTTTTCTGTCTATATGTTTAAAAACTGTATCGTACAATATGAACATTATTCTTGACGAGTTTTGTAACATTCATCTGATATATCTACAGTTCGTTTTCTCATTCGTTCAATACTTTTCCTCAGTATTTTGATTAATATCACAATTTCGGCTACTGTCCAAAAGTCCCCCGGTCTTGAAAATACAAAAATTATTAATTACATCAAGTGATTATATTTTTAGGATTGAAGTCAGGTAATAATGTGTTATAAGCAAGTCATTAGAGAACTATGCTATAATGTTTCTGTATTCACGAACACCAATGATTTGATATACGTTTTGATGCAAGATAACTCTGGACGTAAGTACACATACAAAAGCTTTCCAAATGTACTTCGAACCATCAGCATCCAATACAACCTGTTTCATCTGGTAATTAAAATCTTTGATTGAATTTTATGGAATATGAACACTGTGTTCATCTTGTAAGATAAAATAAAGTAGCGTTAAATATTGTCTTAATTATTATGCAGATAATCAAAAATCAGAAAATTACCAAGAGTAATATCACTTCCTACTTTTCGGACGTTTATGATCTTCCAAGTTACCCAATAGTTTTGAATACTTATTCTGCAACTTCCGAGCAAATGTCTCATCACACAAAATCTATTAAACGAGAAAAAAATATCATTTAAGAGTTTTATTACACGTGGATATAGATATGTAGGAAGATATACTGCACTTGTAGTAGTCACACCGTTAAGCTTTACCATATTTTTTCTATTTACCTACTACTACGCTAACTACAACTAGGAAACAATGAATGAACCAGTAATCTATGTAATTTAGTGCTACGGTTAAGTTGAACAAAGAAAAATAAATGTAATGAGCCTGGATAGTGAACAAGATGCAAAACCTGACTATTGGGTTTGTGAACTTGGTTCTCATTGGCTGAAACCGACTTGAGAAGCGATAAGAAATAGGGATTTCTGTAATCAATTATGATTCTTCGCTAGCTACTACAATGTATAGTTTTTCAGAAAGTAAATAACTAATACTAGAGATAGGACATTAAATTCACTGCTTTTCATCTTGTCGATATACAACCTAACCTGTTTAGTATGATGCAATCTCAGAGGAAAAACATTACAACGAACAAAACGAAGATGTGTAGTAACAATGGACAAGTCTGAATGCCACATCAAAAATCCATCTATTCTATGAGTCGAAAGTCTGAGGGCGAACATTAGTGGTACTACTCACACTGAGTTGTGATTCTAAACCACATTACACACCAGTCAGTTACAACGTAGAACTCCGCACGTACATACGTCACTTCAAGTTGCCATACCACATGAGCACAGAGATGCAATTGTCACTTCAAATCCCATAGTAGTGGAGACAGTGGAAATGTTAGCGGTAATGGAAAAGATTAGGGTCTAAAGAAATTATTCAGTAAGTATAATTCAATGAGATTAATTTAGAAACAGAAAGGTAAAGGTGATGAGGAATTCAGAAAAAAGAAGCAATGCTTCGTAGACATCTATGATCGAATAATAGTAACCTACGAATATCTTCTACTCTTACCGGCCATATTTCGCATCCATATAGTAGAACGGAGCGAACTGCTGCACAGTACACTCATCCTATAGTCAGGAAACGGATATCTTGCATACGCCATAAGTAACGCAGGTTGGCAAAAACCAATCGAGCTTTCTGTATCCGTGGTGAGATTTCGTCACACCCCAGACCAGGCCATTGACACTGATGAGACTCTCGAGAAAAGTGAAGCGGTCAACACACTCAACTGCTTCACTCCCTATCACTAGTTCGGGTACCGATACAAGCCAATCCTGGAGCAACATTTCGCATTTTGACGGGGGAAATCGCGTCCTGAACATGCTTGTATTGTTGCTTAGGGTAGTCAGAAAACTTCATTTTGTCAGCATCTTCATCAAGTATAATTATATCGTCAGTATATTCTAAATCATCCAATGAATCTCCTGATAGAAGGTCCACACCTGAAGATTCAGACAAGGATTATGATATATCTACAAGCAGGTCTATGACAAGGTTAAACAAGAATGGAGAAAGTGGACAGCCCCGACGGACACCACTTAAAGTAATCCATTTCGATGACAGTTCTCCATAAGCTCTCAATCTACCTGTAGTGTTCGAATAGAGAGCCTATATAAGATTAGTGTAGTTCTTTGGTACTCCTTTTGATGAGAGATCGCCACAGAACCTCACGACCGACAGAGACAAACGCCGCCTTAGTGTCCTCGAAGACAACTATTATCGGACGCCTAAATTCGTGTCTATGCTCCAAGACCTGACGTAGTGTGAATATCTGGTCTATACATCTACGTGCAAGTCGAAAACCATCCTGGTTTTCCCTAGTCTGCTCTTCACAAGCTCTAGTTAAGTGTTCGAGTATTAATGAGACCAGTATTTTAGATATTATGTGAGTCAAACTTATTCCTCTGTGATTGTCACAAGGGGACTTTTGGCCATTGTTGTAGACAGGGACAATCAGGGATTGAGGCTAGTTGGTTTGGATTACGCCTAGTTCCTAGATTCCACCTAAGATCTCGCTCAATCTAACTGTTGAAACTGGATTACCATCCTCAAAAATCTCAGGAGTTAGCCCATCAGAACCTGCTGCTCTCCCCTTGCTTAATTTCCTATACCTTTTTCAACTTCATAAACTGTTTGAGGACCTACATCGATTTGCCATTCAGGATGACCAGAGATCATAGACAACCGAAATGTGGCTGACGGCCAGTTGAACTGATCCCTGAAGTGTTCTGCTCATCGTTCCGATCTTCTTGAGTGAGAATGAGTAATAAGCCCATACTTTTCTGAGATAATCTCATTTGAAGTTGTGTTCGTAATATCGATTTCCTTGATAAGTCTGGACGGTTTCCTAATGTCCATCGCCACTGCCTATACTATCTCTCTCGCTTTTTCTACCCACCACTTTTGGCGATTATCACGTAGGCTTTTTATCAGCCTGTGTCCAAGTTGACTCCGCCCCTCATCGTATTCAGAGACACATGGTGTGAGTTTCGGGGCATCTACCAGTTCAGCAGATGCTATTGAGATCCACTGTTTCTCATTAATCCTATGGTTTACCTTACCAGCATTTATCACTGCTGTTTCCACACCCTTTTTGATATCATTTCAACCTGCATCCGGATGGGAATCACTTACATTGCGTCCCAACTGTTTTTCTAGTTGCTCCTGAAATATGTTGCTAGTTAAGCTATCATTTTGGAGGAGGTCCGAAAGCTTTTTGCAGAACTCATCTTTCACATCGTCTGAACTGCAGTCAGTGGGGCCAAACGACGTAGAGGCAACCATGGGTGTCCCTATTCTTCCGAGTCCTTACTGTCCTATTTAGCTGGAAAGCGCACAAGCGACCGTCTACTGGGATCCAGTCTAGGAGAGCTAGTTCTACCCTACGACTCAATGCTATGCCTACACCATCGAGACCCCGGGAAACAGCATCAGGACTTCCAGATACACGAAGAGTAAATCGAACTGCTTCTTTATTTTGATACGGTGAAATCAAATTGATGATTTTACCAGGATCCTGTATGCGCGTTTCCGAGACGCAGCATACATCGATGGCACGAGATTCTAATGTCCTAGCTAAGGAAGCCTGTTGCCCTACTTGACACAATGTCCGTACATTAAATGCTCCAACATGTAATTTAGAACGAGGTTTAAGGAGACCAGGAACGACGTTTCGTGAACTCGCATTGTTTACATTAGCTGTGCACTATGATAAAGGAATGTGAGTAGAGTTAGTCGTGAAGATAAGAGAGATGTTAGGGGGTGTAGGCAGGACTTGATTTTGACCAATTTGGTCTCGCGTGCTGTTACGTGTATGAGGGCGGTTGTCATTTCCCGGCTGCCCACACCGTGGAAGGTTTTTTTCTTGAGGGACCTGAAAAAGAAGGTAGATTATTGTCGGTCTTAGAGACCTAGGAGTGTGACCGCAGAGCCCAAGGAACAACTGCCTGAGGCCGGTCACGCACGGTCTTTTTTATGAGAAGTTTTTAGAGTATCAGCTCCGCTCTTAAAAGCCCTTAATGGGCACTATTACTGCCGGAGACGGAAATCCGTGAGGAAGGGTGAGGTGTGACATTTTTAGGGTCGACCTTTTCTAACCCTTCCTTCCTTGTGTGAAGGCAGCATCGCTGCAGATGCCGGTTGTCCGAGGGAAACACCTTACTGCTGTCACAACCCTCTGCAGTCAGTAGCAGGTAGCAGCTACGGTCGGACGTTATACATGCTTTGATCGGAAGCAGATGCGTAGCGAAAAGTTGAGTACGCGAACTTGCACTTGACCATTTTGAAATAAAGTAATGATCAGACATCTGATTACTATTAACAGCTAGTTTTGCGAAATCACAACCCATAATTTTCTTGGAATTTGCTAAAGAATACTTTACTCATTTGTACTGATTTAAATATATGAGAATTTCAAGGATATGAGATTTATGTTTACCTGTTCATTCGCAACTTCTGGTTTTAATCCGATGTTAGCTGTACTGACAGCATAATCCAACAATGTCTCACTTATTTTCGCTGCTTTCTTATTCTGCTTTCTTTTGCGTCTTGTCTTTACGCATTTACTGTTTGAAGAGGAAGAAGCAATCGATGTATGGTTACTTTCAATACGACGGCCAATATCTTGTGACTCTAATTTTCATGTATGCATTAACATAAACTGACAACCTACCAAAGGACCCAATGTCGTCTGCTGACAGATTAAGACCATCTTCATATAGAAGCTGGGCAGCTAGTGCTAAGGAAGCTTCTTCATTGTCTTTTTCTTCTAATGAGCGTAAATGCGAGTACTTTTCAATCTCTTTCACGTAATAATCATGCACATCTCCTGGTTCGGCAGAACAGTTTGGTACGGGATCTGAAATGAATGACAATCGATACGAACAATCGAGTAATATGACGAAAAAAAGTATTATCTTCACTTCTTCAAAAATTCATATAAAATTCATTTCACCATTTAAACATGAGCTAACATTAGCATTGATTCTCTAACAAGAAACAAACTATACCTGTGTTTTTGTCTCTTAGGGTTTTGATTTCAGATTCAGATAAGGAAGGAGACATCCCCAATTCTTTAGCGTCATAGTAATTTGGAAAAAGGCTTCGAATTTCATTTTCTTTACTTGCTGAAACTGCTGAATCCACATCTTTTACTCTCCGTAACCAGTTTGAAAGTCTATATCTGCATATGGGACATTGATATGCAGTAAAGTTTAAAGCCTGAACTATACAGTCTTTGCAAAACTGGTGGTTACAAGGGAGATGAACTGGTTTGAACAAGACATTGAGACAGATTGAACACGTTAAATCCATGGAGTGCTGAAGGTAATTTGAGTAAAACATAAATTAAGTTGTAAAACGACATAATGATTTGAAACAAATTTGCAAGGTTTGAAAAGATTGAAATCTCGTGAAATGTCTCGTGAACATTTTTTAGTTGCGGCCTGTGAATTAAGCTGACAATGCATAGTTCTTATCGAAGTAAAAATTGGTGCATACACGTGCTGGGGACAAGGCTTTTCTTTTGCATGAAACAATTTTTTAGTTAAATAGGTTCTCCTTATCGAACAATAAGCATTGATCTTAAATATAGGCATGATTCAACTCAAGCAAATAAATTTAGGGAGAACCTAGAGTGAACTTTAGACGAAAATGGGCATCTAAGCAGGATTTTCCCGCAGCAATCTCTATAAAGAAACCTTTCTTCCCTGACAGATGCGCGAATTAAGTACGTGGACGCACAATAAACGTCTGAAACTCTCATACGCAAGAGACCTTTACTAGTGATGTCTTGTTACATTTTTGTATTAGGAGCCGATGGTCTTGTAACAGTTCGACTTCGTACATTGATTTGTTACTGATTCACACCACTGACAGCAATCTGGTGCCTATCTACTTGTGAACGGATGGACAACTAAGAAAGGCCGATACCAACCGGTCCTTGACTAAGTATTAGGCGATATAATTTAGTGGTAGGTTACGACTACATACGATAGGCTTGTCCGGTAGATGACTTAGACCGGTATCAGAGACCCGTGGTCTCTATTCGTAACTACAGAGGCCTCTAAAATCTACTATAAGGTTAGTTGGATGCTGAGTCTATGAACTGAGTTAGAGGAAGAAAACGCGAAAGTGATTTTACATGACAATATTAAAATAGAACTGGCAGATATGTATGTACTTTAGGTGGCTGAATATAGCTCTTACAGAACAAGAGGCTTCCCTATAGCTAAGTGTTGATACTATTTTTTGCATCAGCTAGTCCAAATAAAATGTGCGACCTTTATTGGGTTTGATTCAGATACTGAGGCCAATAAGTGAGTGAGTACAGATCCAAATTGCCTCTTGCCAATTTACGCCGTTTATGGCGTAGGCGAGATATCCGTTCGCTGACTATAGGATGAGTGTACTGTGCAGCAGTTCGCTCCGTTCTACTATATGGATCCGAAACATGGCCAGAAAGAGTAGAAGATATTCGTAGGTTACTAGTATTCGATCATAGATGTCTCCGAAGCATTGCTCGTGTATAGTGGGACAACCGAGTGAGCAATGCTGCCATTAGGAAACGAGTTCTAAGTAAGGATAAGTAAGATAAGTAGACGAAGTATTGAAACTTCATCAGTTGGGGTGGTTGGGACATGTGTTACGAATGCCTAACCACCGACTGCCTCGACGAGCTGTTTTGTAGTGTAGGAATAGGTTGGAAGAAATCTAGGGGCGGCCAAACCAAAATATGGCACAAATCCGTGAAGTCACTGACAAATGGACTGAGTCATGTTGGTAGATGTAGGCTACCTGGTTGGGGTCCGCGAGACGGTAGTAACCGATGGTTAGAGACCTTGAATGACATGGCTCAAAATCGTTTGAAATGGCGCAAGTGCATCCATTCTTTGTCTTCTCCCAAATTCTAATCTGAAGTTGTCAACACCTCTGTCTTCCTCTTTCTAAATTGACCTCACTAAATTATACTTCTTGAATGACATCTTGGAACCCTGATCCTCTTTATTACCAATAGTACTCCTACTATCTCTACCACTATGGGATTTTAATTGGCAGTTGCGTATCTGTGCTAATGTGGTGTGGCAACATGAACTTATGTACATACGTACGAAGTTCTATGTTGCAACTGACTGACTGCGGATCCAATTTATTAAGCAACCAAATTAATCTGTTCGTCATACAGATATCTCACGTGATTTAGTGGTTATATGTGGTGGATTCTTCGTATCCACCATTCCGGTTCGGTAGTCGCACATTCGCTTTTCACTCTGATTTCGTAAACAATACCCAAATAACGAGGAGTTAATTAAGACTTTCCGAGCAATGATTAAGCACACGTGGCAGCAGTTTGAAAGTGGACTCTCGACAGCACCACAGCAGTCGAACCCAGTTGGCAAGAATCGATCTATATAAATTAATGGACTAAGCTATTTATTATTTCTCCATGGTAATCCTAGTCATCTTAATAAATGAGAAGGATGCAGTAAGCTCAATATAATTAAAATTATATAAACAGCAGCATGAAACGTATTTTGATAAACTTCTAGTTATTACTGATTCAAAACTATACGTTCGTCACTTTTTTTCAGTTGCGAATTATCGTCAAAGAAACTGTATGTTTACAGTTATACCAAACAAAATTAAACAGCACGTATCATCTTTACCATAGCTTATTGAAAGTTTTGCATACTATTCTAAAGCTCCAGAACTGGCTTCAATTTAAGATGACCCTGCTTTGGACATCTTTTTCCATGTAATTACTGGAAAACATATATTTTTACTGTCATAAATATACACAAACGGCCTCAAAAATGTTTATCTCGTCACATCAGTTTTTTAAAAAGAGCTGACAGGTATCGAAAAACGAGTATGTGCTAAATTAAAAGCTAATAATCTGTACTAGAAGTTAGATTTATCGTCCATTAAATCTATCTGTAGGAAATTCAACCTATTAAAGTTTTAGGTGAATATTGTGCAATATTAAACACACCAAGCATACTTCAGGGAACAGACTTCATAAGAGGCAACTGGCAAAAAAGAATTATAACGGTTTTAGTGAAGGACGCCAGTCCTCACATTGATTTCTCCAAAATATTATCTGTTAATTGATCTGTCTAGACATAGTTTTTATAGTTGTACAAGAGATCCATCTATCTTTGTACGGAACCGCATTGGAATAAATGTACTTTTTAATCAGTTGTCCACTAATTTGAAAAACAAGCAACTCAAGCTGTGTTACATACTTTTTACAAGCATCCAAAATGAATAAATTGAAAACCTTGCAAGACCACAATATACAGAAAACTTGAATAAACAAAGTGAGTTGTTACTTTGCTTTGAATAGTATAAATGACTTCCGCAATAATAGCGGACTTTCACAATAAAGTTAAGCTTGTCGTGAGGTTTTATATGCTTTCGGATTTATCACCAAAATCTCTATCGGCTCGACATTTTCCTCGAAATTTCTACTAACTTTGAACAACCTCCATGATGCCCGTAGCTACAAGAAAAATTACTATGATCTTCATAGAACCGTTTCTCTCATGGAAAATTTACAACTGCATTAGAATGGGAGAATAGATGCAAAATTTAGGTACATACGAGGCTGAATATGTATAGTCTTACTATGAGGCTGAATATTTAGTCTTACTATTACCCAATATCTTTTTTCACGTGATAGTATAAACCAATTGATTTCTTTGAGATCGATTCTTCTTTCAGTACGGTTCCAGGTTTTTAGTGGCGAGTCAACGAAAACATGAACGTACCACTAAGACGCCTTAAAATTAGCTGAGGAACTGGCATATTTAAAGTGTAAAGCGCTGAAAACCAATAATACGACAGACTGACAGGTTTGAACAGCACTTACCATGAACAACACATAACGTTAATTGTTGCGCCGATTTCAAATTTGCTTAATACCAATCATTTAAACTAACTGTATGTCAAATGACTATAAAGGGAACAAAAGATACTTCCGCCTAAATTGCTCTCATATCTAGTAGCAATGGACCCCTGATGTCTTCATGTACCGACCTAGATATCTGTAACGAAAGAAAGAAAAATATAAGTAAGTGATAGTGAAATACTGTACATTAATATCCAATATTTGTTTCACAAGCTAGTATAAACTAACTGGTTTCCTGAAGCCCGATTCTTGTTCTTTACTACGGTTTCAGGTACTTGGCAGTTCACAATAGATGGGGGTCTAGCCACTCTACTGCACCAATTCTAGGCTGATAATTAGGAGTTTGTATATCCCGTGATTTGAATGAGTAAGTTTGCTTCAGAAAAGTAGGGTTTATGGACACCAGCAACTATCACGTCACCAAGATGGAGATCAGTCAGTTGGAATGTGGAGATGTAATAAATAGAAGTATATGTATCAAGAATTAAAGATATGCGCAAACGAATGTATTGTATTTAGAATCCGAAATCAAGCATTTCACAACAACAAGAAGTTACTAGTTCATTCAAACACCACATCCGCCACAGCTTAAATTGGAATGTATATGTCTGTAATCAGTTGTACGTCTTCTTCTCAAATTCATCCTGTGTCTGTCCGACAGTGTATTGGATAAAGGCTCTGTATTATCTAGAATGCTCTCATTAGTATTAGAATTAACAACCGAAATTGGAACAGACTCACCTGGCTCTTGGAATTGTATTTGATCAACATGTCGATTGTGTGTACTTAAGTCATTGATATCTAGAAGTCGCACCATAGATTTCCCGACATTCTTCAGAACAATCCCCGTGGATGGTCGAAGATCATTGCCACGATAATATGTAACTTCTGCAGACTCTAAACATCTCATATTCGACCGAAGAATTCTTCCTTTTAATAGTTTTGATGGAGTCTCTTTCGTCACTGAATGTCTGGCATTTCTATATTGCAGTAGAAAGGTATCTACTCCCCTCTCCAGCTCATTAAATGTTGAGGCGGCAATAGTATCAATAGCAGTTTTCATACCTCCACTGCACTTAGCACACGTGGCTATCGAATCTTTAAGTAAAGCATCAGAATTTTCTTTAGAAACTAGGAGAGACAACTCCACTTTAAGCCTTTTCAAATTCTTTAAACCCAGTATTGACAGTCCCATTTCGCTAACTAAGAATTCACATGGTATGTATGAGGAATTATCATCTCTTATTAGCAATTCACAACATCCTCGTATAGGCAGTCTGTGTCCAGTAATCCCCAATATTGATACATCAGTGGGTCGTATCACAGCGTTCGGATCTAACGATTTCGAGTTGTTGAATGAAATAATGGACTCTATACTACCTGTGTCCACAATAAAGTCATGAAATGAACCAAGCGATGTATATAGTCGCTTTTGAATATGAGCATTACCTTTCGAAATGGTAGTTAAAGATAAATGATCATTAGGATCAGCTGAATTATTGGAATCTAAGTTACAAGCTTTAGTACTACTTGAGGCAAAATGAACAGTAGCTTTGCATACTGCTTGAATGTGTCCTATCTTACCACATCTAAAACATTTAGCATTACGAAATGTACAATAATAACGAGAATGAAGTTTTCCACATGATAAACATTTGCCAAACTTGGTCTCACCTTTGTGATTTCCTTTGTAATTCTTTTTTGAGACACCGTTCATATTTACACGAGAATCGGAACCTCTGTTAAACGAACACAATTTTGATTGACCCTGAGATTGTTTTTCATCATGACAACTAATCAAAGTATTGGAAATCTTCATCGACTGAATATCAAGTTCATTCAACGCCTCGTAGTTAATGCACGCAGTTCTAACATCTTGAAAGGAACAGTTTGACATTTTTAACAGCTCTCTTTCCAAACTAGGTATGTTAATTCCTGCAATTAATCGGCCTCAGCTGCACATGAAGTTGATCACCAAAATTACATTTGACAGCTTGTTTCTGCAATTCAAGAATGAATTCCTTAACATTTTGGTCATTTTGACGAATCATCTTATGAAATTTCGCTCTTTCACGGCATTCAAAACCAGGGCACTTTACATGATTCAATAATAACTCCTTAAGCATTGCATAGGGAAGTGAAATAGGTTTCTCTGGATATGCCAAGGTTTTTAATAAACTGTACGCTTCTTTTCCGATGAATGTTAGGAAATGAGCCACAACTTTATCATCTTTGACATCTTTCCTGGTCATACTCCAGATTTCAAACCTTTCCAAATAATCTTCAAAAGCTTCAGAAGTAGAATGAATATCTAGCTGTTCCATTACAAGTTCCATCGCGACGCCAGTGTGATAATTAGAAGTATGTGAATCAAGAATTAAAGATATGCACAAACGAATGTATTGTATTTAGAATTCGAAATCAAGCATTTCACAACAACAAGAAGTTACTAGTTCATTCAAACACCACAGGAGAACAATAAGAAGAAAAGCCTAGTGTTAATGAGAAGATTTAGGAACTAAGTAAATAAATGGATATATAGTTTATTAATTGGTAGTGGAGAATGCGTGTGAGGACCACAGTATAAGTAAGAAAGAGGAAACAGAGATAGTTAGCGAGATAGATTAAGCTAATAATCTGACGAGATGGCAATGATGAAAAAAAGAAAGTCTCAGGATAAGCATCAGGCACAGCTTGTCCAAAAGGGAGGTGATAATCCTTAGGTGAGCACGTGTTGTCAAGTCTCTTCTCATAGCTGTTCACTAAGAGGGCTGTGGTCACCTTGGCTGGGAGAGCATTTTAGGCTTCAACAACTCTCAATGAGACGTGTGCACGAACCTGAGTGTCTGCTCTTCGATGCGCGATTTTTGGAGAATTACCTCGACTGAAGTGGTGGTGATGCCTCAGTAAACGCTCATATTGGGATGGTTTGGAGTGCTTAATATGTTGTGCGCTACAATCAGATAACCTCCGATTCTCCTGTAGCTCAGAGAGAATAATCTCAAGTGCTGAAGTCTATCTCCGTAAGGATTATTCTTTAAATTATCACTCATTTCGTTTCTCGTATCTGCACTCGATTCAAGAGATTTAAGTCTCTTTCAAGGAGAGGGAGTGAGACGAAGTTGTGAACCTCATGGTGTGGGTTTGCATTTGTCTTAAAAACGTCAGGAATAATTCAGGTATGATAGCACCAAGCTGTCTTGGCATAAAGCAAAGAGTTGCTGTGTCCCCTGTGTAAATGTATTTCGACAGTGGCCGTCCCAATTGGTTCCAATAGAGGCACTCCTGTACGCTTTTCCTAGTCCCGGGTCCCAACCAATTCAAAAAGGACAAAATTCTAGGAGAAAACGTCTGGAAATTGTACTTCTTCCAGGGTTAAGTTACTCCGCAGAGTATCCGACACAATAACCAATAAGTGACGCTAAGTCCAGCAGCCACTGCGTCCGTCCAAAAATGTGGCGGTAGCCATATTATATCAAATTTAAACAACATATGTACAGTTCAGAAGCAAACACAAAAACTTCAATATAAGTACAAAATATAGGAAGAATAACAATATACAATGGTAAAATCTCAAATTGGAATCAAATAAAGTACCAAAAATGTCAAAAGAAAAAGTCCGTCATATCATAGCAAAAATATGTAAACATGGAGGGATTTTCCAAAACACAAAACATTCAAAAAGAATTCTACACCCTGTATACTTCGAACTGGTGTACAGGTTTTCTGTGGTTATTAGACCGAGATCGCGCTCTAAGGAGACATTCGGGAGCAGACTTCCTTCAGGGTGTAATTCGTTTAGGTTACGTGGGGCACACTGTTCACAATGTGATATTTCGACTGGTTGAGTTTATAGTAAATCGAAATATAATACTTCTTCGCGGGATAACAAATGGTAATCCCGTTACTCTAGTAATCAGGTAAAAGACGATTCTAGAGGAAGAAGTATATTTAATGCTAGCGTCGTGATATCGAAATATTATCGAGGCCAGAGGGCGTACAAGCGGCTAAAGTCCAGGCAGGAGACGCGCGAAGAAGAGAATGGGAATAACACGCTTGGCGCGCGAGAGATAGTCTTTTTGTACAGGTAAACAAAAGGTGTACGATATGACAATTATTGTCAGGATTAAGTACAATAATAAGTATTTATATTTCAGCAGTTGTGTTTTCTTCGTTAAGGTATACCACTACATGTTTGAAACTATTTTTCACTGCGCATTCCTCAATAGTTGTAAGGTTCTTTTGAATCGTCTTCGCCTCCATATTGGCCTCCAAATCTTTGAATAGTCCACGTAGATCGATGCTGGCGAGCTAACTTTTTATAACAAATCGTTAAATGATATCAGGGTTTTTACTTGAGTATGTATGTACATCGTTTGCTTCGCTCACCCGCCTTCACTTATCTTTGCTTGCACGGTCTACATTCTCTTACCTGTAAAGTGATCATTGTTACGTCCAGTTTTTTGCTCGTTGATCTTACGAAGCACGGTTGTCGACTATTTGTAATTCACGGTCCCAAATTTCTAAACCAAGAACGAAACTCCAAAGTAGATACCAAAGTTTATTTCAAACCACAAATTCGACCAAATACTGTATTACAAATAGACGACCAATGTCTTTCTAACAACAATAATTATAATAATTACAATTACCTTCTAATTTATTAGCTCTTGGAGCAAAAAACTGCAAACGAACAACAAAGAGAAACGGGAGTCCAAAATGTCCGCAAATAATAATTCAAACAAGTTCACAAGTTAAGTAAAACAAATGTACCCCAAAACAGTGAAATTAATGATATTTATACATGAAGGTTTTGATCAGCAAAATGTCTTCGTTTCTCCCGTAACACTCCCGACCAAAAGAACCTTGGTTCTTTTCACCGACAAAAATATATAACAACAATCCAAGTATGTGCATCACAAGCAATCAACAACAAACATTCAATATAAATTCTACACCGGCCCACAATATCCCT